GCTTGATGTTGCCTGTGGTCCTTGAGGGCTCTGCATAGCTACTAAAATAATGTTAGAAATTGTCTGAGATGAGATCTACCCCAACTTATACATTTAAAGGTGGAAGAGATGAAAGATGAGGCAGAAGGGTGAAGAATTAAGTGTAGTTCCAGAGGAAGCCTCTGGATTCATTAACCAGCACCATCAGATCTCCTGAGTTTTAGCCTAGGGCCTTAATCACTGGACTAGTGCACAAAAGCTCCTGCCTTTTAAATGTCTCTTGTGTTAGAAAGGGTAATTAACATAAATTCCAAAATTCAAAGTTTTGACTGGACATGTTATTCCAGGATCAGATTAAATGCCCACTGCAGCCTCTGAAGAGGCTCCTAATGTGTTGTGGGGATGTTGGATCATAACGTAATCTCAGGACACCCAATTTATATTGCCTCAGATTTTGTTGTGTTGTTCTAACATAATCAGTTTCAGTAATTCCATATAGTTTTTCCTGTGTGTTCCTATTGAATAGTCTATCACTTACTTACCTGCTCTTCATTGTTACAATTCTCATATTTTTGCAGTGGCTTGCTTTTCTGTAACTTGTGGGCTAAGAACAAACTCTGCATGACTTTAAGCCGGGGCGGACAGTTATTTCGGGTGGAGGGCTGCTTACTGAGTTTTGGCAAGCCATCGAGGGCCGCATGACAGGCAGCCAGGGGCAGATAACTATTAATTTTCTAAATGTTTTAGGGGCCCTGCGGGCTGGATAGAACAGCCTGGTGGGCCGCATCCAGCCTGCGGGCCACATTTTGCCCACCCCTGCTTTAAGCAACAACCCAAATCTGATAACCCTGAAGTCCTAAGATGTATGTAGGAACTGGCTCTGTATTTCTATCTTGAGTCTCTAGGATTTTCATTTTACCACAAAGATCTCTGTACCACTGTCTAGTCTGATAAGGGAACGGGTGATTCTAGACTGAGTTGATTTGAGTTTTCCCCTAATTACACTTTTTAACCTTTTAAACTACTTTTAGCCCAGAGGCAGTGAGAGAGGATCTCATCTAGAAGCTGTTTGTTTGGTTTGGAGTTTTTTGAGCTGATAGTTTCATTCCATTCCAAATGGATGGGTTGTGTTTAACACCACGTTTTCCATTGTTAACTAAATCAGCAATGAGGCTTAGGTATTGGAGAAACTAGTGGTGACTGTCAGTTCCTTCTCCTATGGGTGCTAAATTGGGGTTAGGGCAATGCAGAGGAGGTTGAACAGCCTTGGAGAATAAAGTGGTGACACACTGTGGCCTTTTGTCATCTAGACTAAATTAATTCCTGTACCCATATGTGCCTTGAGTAACTAGAGGTCCCCATGGCATAATCCACTCTAAAGGGTTCGAGGGTGGGATCCTTGGCCCAGATCCACACACTGCTAAATCCTGTATCTGGGCTGTGAGCATTTCTCCCTCCCAACACTTGTGCCCTCTTCTAAGCAGCTGTGGATATGCATAATCAAAGCTCCACTGGTTCTGGCCATGAAGCCCCTCCCTGACATGATCCAGAACATTCAAGATGTTTACTGCCCTCCGCCCTGCTACTGCAGTTGTGCTGATTCCACTGCGAGGCGAGCACTTCGTAAACTTGTCCTGAAAGAACTTTCAAGCAGTATTTTATTTTGCAATGCAACTGGTTTCATATTAGTTTCTTATGCGAGTCAATGCAGGTAAGTTCTTTTCAAGCAACTGGTTCTCTCCTTCCTCAGGTAGTCACGTGACCTGAAAATTATTTGCAGCAAGACACCAGTGCATGGCAAAACAGTCCAGTGTTACCACACCCATTGTGTGTGCATAGGCATGTGAGAAGAGGCTAAGTGCCAAATTTACTGGCTGTGGCAGTAACAGAAAAAGAGACATTCTCCAAGGCATCGGCAGCTGCAGAGAGCCTGTGACCCAGGACAGGATTTCAGTGTCATGCTGTGATGTGTCTGCTATCTACTGCAATGTAGAGCAGGAAGGAAGGCACCCTGATTTTGCAGTTAGAAAAGGGCTGTCCAACTTATTTTGCCACGTGTACTACATGGTGACCCACCTCTGGTGGAAACTTGTCAGCATGCCTCCAGGACTTAAGGGCCAACCATTGTCGCTTGCCCCCTTTTTCCCTGCTGTCAGTCTAACAGCAGTGGCTGAAGCCCCTGACTTCAGTAGTGAGCAAGGGACTTGGGAGGGGCAGGGAAGAACAGCGGTGGCGTTCACGCCTTGGGTTCCAGAGCGGTGCTGGGAAGTCCTGTCAGCTGCTGCTTGGGCAGTGCTGAGCTAGAACATACTGGTACTTGCATATGCAAAGCTGCTTGCAAAACTTAGATATGCCATCTTACTCATGCACACGGTACCAGTAATCTGGTTCATGTTAGCTGTATTCACCTCCTAGGCAAGGTACAGAAATTACACAAACAGGTACAAACTTGTAACAGAACAGTAGTTCAGTGCAAATAGATTGGTTTCAAAATGGTGGTGCTTGGTTTAAGACAAACCTGGATGAATGTAGTATCTTTAATCCTTTTAGGTTAGACTAGTGTATTGAACTTCTGGTCCAGACCTCCCCCAGTGCCTTAGGTGACAGGCCCCTGGTCTCCCAGGATGCTTTGCAGTCCCACATCCCCTCTTCCCACCAGCCAGTCTCCCCTTGCAGGGCAGCCAGCCTGGCCTCTGCCAGCGCGCCCAGCGCCCCCGCCTGCTGCAGTGACCCGTGGGCACCTAGCACCTCTTCGGCTGGACGCGGTAGCCCCATCCTGGCCGGGTGGCCAGAAGTCCTGGGGCAGAGCCGGGCGGGGGGTGGCCAGGGCTGAAGGACACAGACACGGAGGTCCTTGCGGTCTGGGTCCAGAAACTGCCAGGATCTCACTCGGTTTCTTAACGTCTGGAAGAAGCAGTGTGTGGACCCGGAGCAGTCTACAGACCCCGACTGGGGCCTCGCATTTGTGCTTTGTTTTGTTTAGATGAGTCTACGACCCGCCAAAAATACGGAGTCGAGGTTATCATCCAGTATTAGCTCCAGCAGCCCGTGCCCGCCCCACTCGCGCTCGGAACACGCAGCGCGGACGCCGCCGGCCCCTCGC